TCCTCACCCAGATATTTTTTCCCACTGATTTCTAAAGAGAGGGTAGAAGGGAGGGAGGAGGGGAAGAGAGAGAGAGAAACATCCACATGAGAGAGACACATCAATTGGTTGCCTCCCACATGCACCCCTACCAGGGCTAGGGAACCTGCACCTACGTGCTCCTGACCAGGAATCGAACCTGCGACCGTTCGGTCCGAGGGATGACACTCTAATCACTGAGCCAAATGAGCCAAGGCACTTCCTGTCATTAATAACTACTGTTTTGTGTTTTGTTTTCTGTTTTTGCAAATAGATGTAAAAACGATTTCTATATTAGTAGAAAAAGATCCTAATGCTATGAGTTAATATACAGCCAAGGTAAACTATTCCCTTCTCTAACAAATAACCCAAACACCAAGCTGAAAGTTTAGAAACACAGTCTCAGCCTGAAGCCATCTTTAATATCTAAACTAGAATTCTCAACCTTTCAAAGGAGACAGCAGCCAAAAAGTAACATTAGTCCAAGTTATTTAATATTGTGACTTTACTATAAAATAGGCTTCAACATTTAAAGAGTCAGGCAGTTTGAGAAGTGAGAAATTTTAAAGTATATAACCATTTTTATTGCAGTGCCTTAAATACACTGATTTAGACCGCAGTAGGGCAATAAACATTATTAATATTTTCCTGCCCTTATGCAGAACAAACCAAAAATACATTAAGAAAACCATTTCCAAACCTGCGACTTTATATAAGATTATTTGCATTCTACTGCCTTCCAGGCCCACTGCTATTGCAAATGCCTTTGAAAAAACTACCTTTTCAAGATACTTCACTACTTTCTGCCTGTCACTGTTTATATATATATATCAATCTACTATGACTATGGATACCAACAGCATGTCATAGAATTGTGCAGCACACAACCTGCACAACTTAGTGACCACACTGCTTTGCCTACAGGAAAAACACAGAGTTCACACCATTGGGATATTCATCTCTGGCCAATGTCCCCTCTGGCATGTTCCTAAATGAGAATCAGAACCTTTGCTGCATTCCTCAATTACCTTTGCCCACTGTCTTTGTGATCATACAAAGAAACTGAGTTTACTTTTAAATAAGACTTTAAGAAAAGTAGAACTATAAATCGTAAATTGCTGCAAGAATAAAAATTATATTCCAAACCAAGAGTTTAGCTCTATCTCAGGGCGACATAATACGTAACACCATATTATAGCCTCATGTACAAATACCAATGTTTCAAAACTTGATAAAGCTAACAGATTTACAAGAAAAATCACAAAAACAACATTGTATCACTGGAATTGCTTAGAGCAGTGGTCTCAACCTTCTGGCCCTTTAAATACAGTTCCTCATATTGTGATCCAACCATAAAATTATTTTCGTTGCTACTTCATAACTGTAACGTTGCTACTGTTATGAATCGTAATGTAAATATCTGATATGCAGGATGGTCTTAGACGACTCCTGTGAAAAAGTTGTTCGACCGCCAAAGGGATTGCGACCACAGGTTGAGAACCGCTGGCTTAGAGTGAGGAGGAGTAGGAAGCTGTCAATGGAAGTCCCACAGGAAGTCAGAAGCTCCATAAATGTTATAAACCTCATCAAGGAATAATATTCATGTTTGAACAACCAAAGTAAAAATAATCAACCAAAAAAACTTTTCTCTGTTTAAAAAGAAAATGAGTAAATTTTTAAATAATAAAAACATAAAAGGCTGACTTAAATGGCAATTGAGGAATTCAATACAGCTAATGAAATCTGGAAGCCAAATGACAGATTTTCTGCCATGTGTAACTCCCTTCTCAAGTGATGATACCGGTCTCAAAGCAATTTCATGAGAATTAGTTAAAAAATATGAAACTTCAAAGTACTTTGATTTATAACTAACTAGTAAGGGTAAGTTACCTGTCAAAATGAGTCAAAATTTTCAAGAGAACAATCAAATTACTCATCATATATACTGATAACCAATTTCTAGGCTAACATAAAATCATGGTAAATGTGGAGAATCATCTGTGAATTCGTCGTTTTATAAAACCAGCAGGCTATTACTAACACCTAAGCCATATTATTCTTTAATCAAACCTCAATATTTTCTGGAGAGAGACGTATATATGACTCACTAATGTCAACTTTTAGCAAAGTACCACGTAGAGACTCTTTCACATTAAAACAATCTCCGCACTATTCCTAAGGCAACATCTCCAAAGGAAACAAACAACTTGGAAAGAGCAAATGTCACCAGGTGCAACATGAAGGCATAACCTATATATAGTCCTAGCTTGTCACTCAGTCTGAAACACCATTCCTTCCCTCGTCCCATTAAAGTACTGACTTGCAAGCAGTTGACATGCAGCCAGGGAAAGAAAATTATGTCATCTTTTAAAATAATTAGACATAGAGTCCAAAACATGTGTTCACGAAATAGGTCTGAACTGCAAGTCCTCTTTCCTCTAGAACAACAGCTTTCTGAACATGAGGTTCCCATTCCACAAGATAGAACGAGCTGTTGCTTGATGGGCTGAGGATGGCTGGGAGTCCAGGAAGACCACCTCAGGCTCCTCCAGGGCGCTAGCACTGTGGGCTGCAGACTGAGTTTGTACAACAGACCTTGCAACAAGATGATGAGGAGCCACTAAGCTCTGTTCTCTTTAAGGTGCATCAATTTCAAATCAAAATCATTAGGGCATAATTTACCCTTAACTAACTTGTGCAAAGTTCAAATAACTGAACCTTAAACTGATATTAAGATGTATAAAGAGTAAGTCTTTGCAAAGAGTTTTTAATGTTATGAGGCAATGCATATACATATTAATTAAAATAAACAAGACATGAAATTATTTATAAGGTATGTTCTTAGCATGTGCACCATGCATGTGCAAGACAAGATGGAAAAACACTGAAATATTAAAGGCTGATTATCTTGGATGAGAGATTTGAAGTGACGCTTTTCCTTCTCTTTATCTGTGATAATTTATATTTACATAATTATTATTACATTTTACATCAATTTTTAAAATATGCCAATCCTTAAATATTCTTTTCCTACACCTTCCTCCAAGTTAGGAACCAAACAGGAGGTCCTGTGTTTGACGGAGTAGAAAAGTATTGCTATTCAATTCTCCATTCCTCTGGGAACGAGAATTCTAGAATTACAGGAACTGTTTCAGCCGGTCACTGCAAGCTTCCCAGGCAGAATTCTAGGAATTCTACACTGCCCAAGTTTCTTCAGTCATAAAATGCAGGTAAAAATGGTATTTACCTCAAAGGATAGTTGTGAAATTAAACGATTATACACATAAAACATTTAAAATGGTGCCTGGCAAATAGAAAGCACTCCCAAACACTAGGCTATTTTTCCTTCATCATTTTATTACTACAACTATCTTTACTTCTATTACTACTCTTACCACCACCAACGCAAATACTATTACGATAACTATTGCTGCTATAAAAACAACAAACAAACCGATTGAGCTTCCCTCTCTCTGAGGGCCATGCTCCAAAGGGAATAATGCCTGCCAGTGTGATCTCCGAGAAGTGGGAGGGCGAACAGGCATCGGGACTATACCAGAGATTGTTTTTCATGAGACGCAGTGTGGCTCTGGCACTCGCTCCCAACCATACCGGTCGCCAAGCACCCATCTCAGTGCCTTCTCTTACATCCAGGACCATTACCTCTCCCCATCTCACTAACTCTTTTATAAAAATCTGTTTACGTTTTTAAAATAAATTCTTAACATGTCCTTGATCCACTCAGAATCATTTGTCGAGAACATATTTTAATATTGGCTTAGGTGATAAAAGGTAAGAAGGGAGAGCACTAGTCTTTAATAAATTTAGTCATTTAAATAAAATAATAATTTGAAAGAAAGATATTTAAGCAGTTAAAATGTTTTTAAAATCTGGGGTCAAAATGAAAATATGTATTTCTGAAAAATACACAATTGGAAAACACAACTACTGAAACTTATTAGCAGATACCCTCATTCAGGGAACCTGGAAATACACTGCCATATTTATAACAGATGAGTCCTAACTCTCTTTGGCCATAGCCGATTGGAACTAGAACATATCGGCCCCATGCCAAGCCAATCAGACTGTAACCTGAAGAATCCAAAGAAAAGACACAGGCGCTACAGTCAAATGGTGTAAACAGTGGGGACATAAGGTCATCAATCAACAGTTGGCACATACAAGCCAAAGTCACAGGGAGAAAGACGTTAATAGCCTTAGAGAGCGGGAAGCTAGTCCACAGACAGATGCAAAATTGAGAGACCATATGGTCCTGAGAGGCAGAAAAGTCAGCCACAGTTCCTGGCTTTCCATTTCTAGTCCCATGTGGTCTCAATGAACTTTCTTTTCCTCTCTTTGGATGCTTATGAGACTGCCTGTTATAGAGGCAGATTTTATTCTCTATGAACACACATGTCCTAAATTAGCCTGACATGTTCATGTAACAAATGGACATGTCACCAGCATGTCTTTTGTTCCTGCCCTTTGTTAAAGAGATTGGAAACAGTGTTTACGACATGAAACAGCCCTTTCTTAAAGATTTATGCATTTAACACCCCAAGGCATTGACTTGCTTTGTTTCAGGAGGAAATAGGAAGAGAAAAGAATTCTACAAAAGAACTCAATCCTGCCAGAGGATTTCACGCTCCATGGATAACCTATTAGCGATTGTCTATACGATACCTGCTTCTTGGAAGAAACATGGATTCCTTAATGAACACGGAACCAGAGAGAAGGATATACCAGCAGGTCCCAATATCATCAGGACTGAAAAGAAAAGAGAATAGAATCAGATGATTATACATAACAACAACAAAATCAAAACATACACAGCACAAAGTGTAGTACCCATATTACTTTCAGAATCATAAAGGACAATGAAATAGTATAAAATATGTCCATGAAAATACCATTATTCAAAAACAGGAATCATTTATTTTCTATTCCCCAAATAAGCTAAAGATATTTGTCCATATATTTAAATAGTTTAAATGTTCCTTGGATGCATAGCACTGACCATTACCAGTTTTATTCTTTTAGTTTAATTTTTTAAACTGAAAATGCTTTCCGTTGCTTCATAAAACAAAAATATAATGACGTAAACAGTAAAACTTGGTCTTCCCAACCCTTTCCCTGGCTACCAAGCTCCCCCATTTCTCCACCACACTCCTTGGATATTCTTCCAGAACTTCTTTATGCATATGCAAATAAAAATGGACACCTATTCGTATTCCCTCCACCATCTTTTATTTGCTTTTTACAGAAAAGATAGTATAGTGTTCTTTCCTTTGTGCTAAACCTTAGGGATCTTTGCATCAGGTCGCTGTCTTGTGAACACACCATACTTGACATAAACAACCCCTTACTCAGTCGTTTCGGTTGTTTTTAACAGCATGCAATTATTTTCAAAAAATAAAAACCACAATGAGTAATTCTGTACATATAGTAGTAACTGTAACCAGTAACTAGAAGTGCAACTGTTGGGCCAAAGGGTACACATACACTGTCATTCTGATAAATCTTGTTATAGTGTCCTCCATAGGTGGTTAACAATTTATTTGCCTACTTGCTTCACCACAGCCTTACTATTATAGCTTGTTACGTTTCACACGATCTCACACATTAGTGGAATATAATGAACAACATAAACTGATGAACAAAAACAGATCCAGAGCAGAGAAGCATCGATCAGACCGTCAAACCTCAGAGGGAAGGTAGGGGAGAGTGGGGGTAAGTGGGGCAGATCAACCAAAGACTTGTATGCATGCATATAGGCCTAAGCAATGGATATAGACACCATTACCAGGTTTATTTTTTTAGTTCAATTTTTTAAACTGAAAATGCTTTCTGCTGCTTCATAAAACAAAAAATATAAAGACGTAAACAGTTATTATAATACTAGAGGTCCAGGGTATGAGGTGGGTATGAGGGCAGTTGGGGGATAAGGACATATATGTAATACCTTAATCAATAAAAAAATAAATTAATTTAAAAAACTAATAAAATACAATACATTTTTATTGATTTCAGAGAGGAAGGGAGAGGGAGAGAGAGATAGAAACATCAATGATGAAAGAGAATCATTGATCGGCTGCCAACTGCACACCCCCTACTGGGGATTGAGCCCACAACACAGGCATGTGCCTTTGACAGGAATCGAAGCCGGGACCCTTCAGTCCGCAGGCCAGTGCTCTATCCACTGAGCCAAACCTGTTGGGGCAGCTTGTTACATTTTCTTAACAGTTTAAAACAACATACATTTATTATCTCTGGAGGATAGCTGCCAACAGATGACTTTCTTTTTTTTATTTTTTAAATTTTACCTTTCAATTACAGTTTACACTCAATATTATTTTGTTTGGGTTTAAAGTACACAGCATAGTGGTTAGATAATCATATACTTTACAAAGTATTTCCCCTGATATTTCTAGTACCCACCTGGCACCATACGTAGTTGTTATAATACTAGAGGTCCAGTGCACAAAATTCATGCAGGGGTAGGGTCCCTAGGCCTGGATGGTGATCAGGGCTTGGGGCCTTCCAGCTGCCGGCCAGGGCATCCCTTCATTCCGCGCTGCCCCTGGTGGTCAGCGTACGTCATAGCAAGTGATAGGACTCCCGGTCTCCCAAACTCCAGTGGGGACAATTTTCATATTAGCCTCTTATATAGAGAGGTTAGTGACTATCTTTCCTATTCTGTGTTACATTTATTTAACAAATGTTTAATAATTTTATGATGAGGGCTATACAAGTTGTTTAGAATACCTCAGAGAACAACAACAAAAAAGATCCCTGTCCACATGGAGTTTATATTCTGATGGGACAATACAGAAAATCTATAATAATAAAAGTGTAATATGCTAATTAGACCTGTCATCCTTCCAGATGCCCTTCCAGACAAAGCCTGCGCTGTGAGGGAAGCCCAGGTCCCGGGTGCTTGCCAGCGGCTGGAGGGAAGCCCGGGTCCTGGCAGCCAGGGGAAGGAAGGCCTACTCTTACACACATTTCGTGCATCAGGCCTCTAGTTAATAATAAAAAATAATAAACTGAAAACATTATAAGTCAGTGCTCTAGAGGGAAAAATAGCCCAGGGTAAGGAAAAGGGGGGTGGAGTATTTTGGTTTTAGATGGGTGGTCAGAACAATCTCTCTGAGAAGAGCATTTGAGCAAAGGAGATGCATTAGCCAAGTGGATGGGTCTCTAAGGAACCAGCATTCCAGGCCCAGGGCAGGAGGATCTCAAGTGGAAGGGCAGAGGCCACCAGCTCACACTGCCCAGCAGGGAGGCCAGTGTGGTGCGGCTGAAGCACAGCAGGTGAGGGGCAAGCCACAGGGCTTCCTACCACAGAGGCTTTTAATTAAACTTTTGGGGTTTTGCCAATCTGCTTGATGAAAATGATATTGAAACCAAAGGTCCTTATAACTTTGATTGGATTGAGCTTTAAATCCTAGCTCTGGACATCATCTCTCACTACATACACATACAGGGTGGGGTAAAGTAGGTTTACAGTTGTTCATATGGAAAGTAATACAATAATTCATAAATAATAATACAAGAATCAGCTCTGTTTCGAGTACTCACTACTGTAAACCTACTTTTGTCCCACCCTGGATATACCCCTCAGAGACCTGGCCTCCCTTCCCCCCAGTTAATCCCTGAGGCAGCAGAAGACAGCAGCCGGATCTGACTAATGATCTGGTCCCGGACCTGACTAATGGCCACGCACCCTGGACCTCTGGCAGGCTAAAGATAACGTCTTGCCCTAAGTTATGTTTCAGCTCCTGAGCCCTAAGGTGGAACAATCCCATGAGACCAGACAGAGGGATACTGGAAAGACCTCAGAGCTGTCCTCAAGACCTGAAGAAATGCTTTATCTTCACCTCACCTCCAACCAATCAGCTCCCGTACCGACTCCTGAGCCCCAAACCAACAGTGGTTTGTAATTTTGGCCTCATAATCTGTAACCTACACACTATCGGGGCGTTAGGGCTTTTGAGTATTAGCTTCCTGTTCTCTTGGGTGGTGCCACTCACCATAAAACAGCCAACATTTCCCCCACTGCAACCCTCAGCATTCAGTGTTTGGCTCTGCTAGTGCGGGGTGGACAAACTCTTTCTGTTCAATAACAATATCTTAGTGTAATTTTACTTTCCATTTCTTTTTCTTATTGCTATAAGAGCACGCTTTTTTCTTATTTTGTGAGCCATATCTATTTATATTCCTGTGAAATCAGTTTGTAACTTCTAGCCGATTTCCTATTAAGGTGTGTAATTTTTTCTTACCTGGAAACATTTTTAATACCTGGTAACATCAACCTTTTGAAAACATGAATGCCATTTCCCCCATGAGTGGCTTATGCTTCGACCTTGTTTGCTGTGCTTGTTGCCATGTGTTATTTTATAGAGTCAAGTTTATTAACAGGCTCTGCTACTATTAAAACAAAAAGTTAAGCATAGCAATGGCTTAACCAAGAAGGAAGTTCATTTCTCTCTCCCACAGAACAGCCTGGGCACCGCCAGCCCAAGGGGGATAGGGTGGCATCCTGGTATAGAGACCCAGGCCCTTTCCATTGTGTGGCTCCCTCATTCCCAACCCGTGGCTTCCATCTCATATGCTAAGGTGGCGGCTCCAAATCTCACCACCATATCCACATTCTAGTAGGTGGAAGGGGTGGAAAGGAAGGGCAAAGCACACCCCATTTCTTTATTAAAATTTTTTTCTTTTTCAATTACATACATATACTTCTCTCAGATCCCAGCGAATCACATGGAAGTATTGCAAAGGGGTCGTGGGCAGTCTCTGCCAAGTCCTTTTTTCCTTTGTAAATAGATTTCAAAAGTTCTCCAAGGACATTCAATTCTATTCACACTTCTAAATACCTAAGTTATTTAAAACACCAATCACTATCACCTAATCATTTTCATACTGCTATTTGCCTCCAAAGCAAATCAGCAGTTGATCACTGTTTCTCCCAATTCTTAATCAATTTCCTAACTACTGAAGGCCTCAAGAAAACATTTTTAAAAATTGTCAAATATAGTGTTTTTCCAAGGAAGCCAATAAGAGTAAAATGCTTTCTCAAATGAAAAAGCAAAGTACTTCAAAAACCATTATTTATATCCCTTCTCCTCAGTTTTTAATCATTAGCTTTTATAATGAACAATCAGTTACCTAGTTTGAGGGGTGGAGGAAAATTGTCGTTCTTAACATAGATGACAGCATTATTATTAATACTGATTTATGTCAGGTAAAAATGTGTTTTTCCAGTTGCAAGAACAGTTTAATTTTTTTTCAAATAAGTAATGACATTGGAATAAAAAGAAAAAAAGAATTTATTTTATGAAGTTATTTTAATCTGCTCTTACAATGGTCACCTTATCACCAAAGGTTGATCAACAGAAATGAAATCTAGAAAACAAGGAAGTTAAGGTAGATTACCCTTACTCTGTGGGCTTGAGCAAGTTACGAAAGCAGCTGTAAGGATTTAATGAGCAATGCTCAGTAAATGCAAATAACGACTATTCTATAGATTTCAATCACATTTAAAAAGTACAATAAATGTCACCAAGGTCTAAATTAAATGTGACATAGAGACTATAACAAACATTCACTAGAGTTATTACATAATTTATCCATTTTGAAGGCAAAATTACTAAGGATAAAAAAAAAAAGCCTTATAAATCAACTTTCCTGGCACTGATCATAAAATACCTGTCCTCCCTGGCTCAGTGGTTGATCGTCGACCTATGAACCAGGAGGTCACAGTT